CCACAGCAGCAGAAAACCCCACGACGCCATACAAAGGCGTATTCAAGGTTCTCGCAGGGCCAGGGAGCTGCTCACTGTCGCCTAAACCTGCTGTCCTCTGCGGACGCAGAGCCAGGAACAGGGCGGCCTCGGTGGCCCTTTCCTGTAACTCTCCTCTAGCACTGCATCGTGAGACGGCTCTTCCAGGAACGGTCTCCTCGTGAGTGGCTTTACGGCTGAGGCACGCTGGAAGCTCACCAAGGATTGCGTGTTTTAGTCAACCCTATCCAAAAGCAGAGTCTTTCTGGAAATAGCAGGCGTTCCTCACGGAAGAGTGGTTTACAGCCAGATCTGGAGGAGTCACTCGAAGGACAAAGATGCTGACAGCCCTCGGGGAAGTGGTTTGGTCTGAACCCGGTGAGCTGTGTGTTGATGCGGACACAGCCGGCAGCGCTGGCGCAAACAGCGCTGCTCCCCAACACACGTCACTAACGTGCTGGGACATCAGTTACTCACCGGCAGTTTGATGGTGTCTTAAAAGTTACATTATTTGGGAAAGAATTGTTGAGGTGCTGAGAACAGCAGCAGAGCAAGGGGCTCAGATTCCCTGAGCTGAAGAAATATGAGTGTCTTCGGTCCGGATTAGCACTTTCCCCTCCTGAAGATGACAGAACTGTGGTGAGGGACCCCCGGCAGCCCCCTCGGCCTTGACTCTTGCCCAGCAGGAACAGTTTGGCTCAGGAGCTGCACCACTTCATGCAGCTCCTGGATGGATACTCAGTGACTGTTGGAGGTGGGAAGAAAAAGAGGAGAAAAAGCCGGATTTTTCTTGTGGAGCTGCATGAAAAATTTTCTTTATAGAGTTTTTCAGGCAATTAGCCAGCGGTACCAGATGGCATGTGGAATCGTTCCTAAAAATGAACTGGTCGAGATGCTGCCCTACATAGAAGTTAATGGATATTAAAGCCACGCGGTTTTCAAAGAAATGCAGACAGAAGTACAGGCTGTTTGCAACCTGCTTGGCGCAGCTACACATTATACGTGTGTGCGTGTGCGTACACACAACCATTAAGAAGAGTCATTACTTTTGACACCGTTTCTCTAGAGTCAAACGTGGGAGACCAGCTGTAAGGAGAGCCCAGCGGAGAGATTTTGGATGCTCTGGACGTGCCATTTATTGATGGGCGAACAGCACCTTGCACTGCCTCAGTCAGGAGGGAATTTCTTTACGTGTTACACAAGCGTCCTTCACGTTTGGTCAGTCTGGCCTGAAAACCTCTGGAGCAATTTGCACCTTTGCAAATTTTACCATTTCCTCTAGTAGCATCAGCCATTCCCTCCAGGACCAAACTGCTCCTGTGATGGCTTTGAACTGCATCACTGATGAACATCCTCTTGTCTACAGCAAACCTGCTGGAAAAACATAAACTATTGAAATATAGCAGGTAGAAGAAAGACTTTTTGCTCTCTGAGACCATAATGCTTGAGCTGTTGGTGTGTTTCCACTGTAAGGGATGAGGATGCCAGGGCTCAGCGTGGGGTTTCGTGCTCTTTCAGGCATCTCCTTCGGAAAGTGAGGAAGGCAACTCCAGCCTCTCACTCATCAAATCCCTCAGTATACTTGTCTTAACCAAGAGTAAAGGCTAAATAAACACATCTAAACAACTGAAAAGCACGTCAACATCCAACTTCAAAATAAAATGCGGTGAAGTGTGAAATTATACCTTTTATTCCATAAATCTCTAGCAACCGGCACAGTTCTATAACTTGTATCACGCTTTAATACTGGCAGAGTTTAACACACCATGCAAACCCCATAAAGTAATTACATTTCATCTCAACAAAGAAACAAAATCCCAGCTCGTTCAACCCCCTCTGTCTGAGGAAGGATTACAGACAATTCAGTGCATGTCGATTTTTCCTGGTGATAAATCCAAAGCAGGTCACCAATGAAATGGTAATGTGGGTTCCCAAGGCAGCTGATTTACTGGGAAAAATAGAGATGTTGTTTGGTGTCCTTCAAGGCAGAGTCACCCTGCTTTCTGAAATTTCCTGAGGTTTATCCTCTACTTAAAAGAAGCTTAAAAATGTAAAATTTACCCTTTTGACCATTTCAGCAGTTGGCAATTGCCCCTGTGCAAGTTGGTTATGTGCTTCACATCAGATTCCCATTCAGCTTTTAAAGAGTTATTTCATTTTGCCATAACTGAGGTTATGTGGGTGGTGATGATGATGACAGAAAGCCAGCAGAAGACACTCGCAGGTCCTCATCTTGCAACACCAGCCATCGAGCCTCAGGAGTTCAGGCACTCCAGACCCACAGGTCAGACTGGAAATATTTGTCATCAGAGCATTTGTTGGCTGCCCTTCTGCCAAACCAAGGGTATGTCTGTACACAACAAACCACAATTAATTTAACTAATTTATCTATTAACAACTGCCCTCAAATAAAGCCTCCAAACTTTAATTAGACCATTGTGATTAAATCCAATTAAAACTCTTAAAGCAAGTCAACAAGGACTGCAGGCACTCTCATTTCCAAAGCCCAGCACGATGCTGCAAACACGCACGGGAACAGGGTGAGGGTGATGGCAAAAGACCTTTTTTTCCCCACCAGGCACAAAGCAACACGGCACCAAAGACTTTCTACTGTCCCTGACTCAGCCACTATAACTGGGCGACACGAAAGGGAACACCTTGCAAAGCAGACAGGATGCAGTGGCCTCCTGAGGGATGGGGATGAGAGGCTTAAATGTCCTAAAAGGGGAGACGAATACGAATTGCACGCAATTGCATTGCTCTACTTGGGTCCTGTGCATGGAGAGGTAGAAGGGAAACCATCACGATTGCTGAGAGAGAGCAAGCACGTGACAATGGGCAGTAGCAGCAGAAAGGATTAAATTATTCTAAGGATGACCTGAACACGGAGTGGGCTTGGTGGAAGACATAAAATTTGATGGGAAATTTTTGTATCAAAAAGTTCGCAGCCTTTCTAGGAGACAATGAGTAATGGAAGACCCAAATGAGGCAAAAACCTGCAAGGTGAGTGCTCATCAAGTTGCACAGGGCAAAGAATTTGATAATATTATGATCAATTATGATAAAATAGGCAAGACAAAACCAGAAAGGGCTCTGAGAGGCCAGAAAATGTCACTGGGGTGGGGGGCAGCAAGGAGGTGAGTGGCAAGCAAGAAAAATCAGATTTCTATATATAAACCTGAGCCAGGTCTCTTGTTCCAGCTCTGGTCATTTCTTTTGCCCTTTAGACTTTTCAGAAAGCTGACACCATGCTCTAACTTTAACAACCCCAAATCATTCCTCCTAATGGCACCTGTATTCAGATTTATATTCTGTAGTGAGTTGGAGTAAAAGGAGAGTCGCAATAGGCACCCCGTGGCACGCTGGCCACCGCAGTTCGGTGTGTGTATGCCACCAAGAAAAACTCAGCAGGTGGAGAAGAGTTCCCTGAGTTATTTCCTATTCTCTGTCTAGCAATAAAGACACAGTTACACCGGGTGGTAACTCTTAGCAGATGGTGACTTTTTAAAGTTGATTGCTGTATAAATGATACTTTCTGAGT